TCCAGCGCAGATGAATTATACTTACGTCATATCCACGCAGATTGATGAATTATGTCATATCCACAAAGATGAGTGAATTACATCATATCCACAAAGATGAGTGAATTACATCATATCCACACAATGAAAGAATTACGTCATATCCACACGGATGAATGAATTACGTCATCATCCACACGGGATGGAATGAATTACGTCATATCCACAAAGTTGAGCGAATTACGTCATATCCACGCAGATGAATGATTACATCATATCCACGGCAGATGTGATTACTTACGTTCCATTCCACGCAGATGAAGTGAATTATGTCATATCCACAAAGATGAGTGAATTACATCATATCCACAAAGATGAGTGAATTACATCATATCCACACAGATGAAAGAATTACGTCATATCCACACAGATGAATGAATTATGTCATATCCACAAAGACGAGTAAATTACATCATATCCATAAAGACGAGTGAATTACATCATATCCACACAGATGAATGAGTTACATCATATCCATAAAAACGAGTGAATTACGTCCATTCAACAACTTGGGTGAATACCCCAAGGACTAAGCTCTGATTTCTCATCTTGCCCAAATTCCTATCAAAGGGGTCTGGGGAGTCATGCCCTACAAACTATCCATTCTCACCAGATGTGCTTTATTTGATCCTATATATCATGACTTACTTTCCAGTCTCACTCTGGTGTAATATTATGAGACAAGGAAAAAAAACATTTTACGCCAAAATATATTTCCTTGCCATACCTTGAAATTGCTCTGCGAAGTCTCTTGTGGGAGAAACCCACATTCTATAGAGAATCCCCTTCCCCTTTGTTTTCCTTCCTTTCCAGATCCAGGAGATAATCAACTAAGTGCCAGGCACCCTTTTAGGTCCACTAAGAAACATTTCACAATCTGCTCTCTGAAGTCTGCTGTCTAAGAGCTTCCTCTGCGCCAAACTTGGTCTCCACAATCCTTTATCTCAACCTGAACATTCCTTTCCATTGATCCCAGGTCTTCAGATACACTTAACCAGTTGTCAACCAGAAAATGTTTGAATTCGCTGTGAATTATCCCACCTTTCTGAACCAAACCAATGTATTTCTTAAATTTATTGATTGATGTCTCCTGCCTCCCAAAAATGGATAAAACGAAGCCGTGCCCGACCACCCTGGGCACGTGTCCTCAGGACCTCCCGAGGGCTGTGTCACGGGCCATGGTCACTCATATTTGGCTCAGAATAAGTCTCTTCAAATATTTTACAGAGTTTGACTGTTCGTCTACAACCCCGAACGCCATGCTGTGTGACAGAGGCTGTCCACAAACGCACCTGTTCCACCTACATGAAGTTCTAGAACATAACAGAAGTGATCCACAGAGCTGGGAATCATGTCAGCGGTTTCCTGGAGTACAGAGGGTTTTAGCTACACAGGGACACGAAGGAGCTTTCCGGGTGACAGAAATGTTCTGTGTCTGACTAGGATGGTAGTTACCTGTTGTCTGCAAGAAACCCTCCTTATATGTAATGAAATGGAACAGTAAAGTTAAAAGGAGAGACTAGAAAAGGATCTACCAACAACTCTCGAAAGACGGCTGGAGTGTCAATGTGATGATGAGAAAAGGAGACTTGAGAGTGTGGAATGGTACGAGGGATAGAGAGGCCGTTCCATAGCGAGCAGGTGCCCCCACCATGAGAACACAGTAGCCCTGAACACGACAGAACAGAGCTTCCAAATACGTGAAGCAAACGCCAGCACGCCTGCGAGAAGGGGTAAAGCCACGATTCTCCTTGGTAACCTCAGCTCCCCTCTGAAGCCTCCTACACCATGTAGACAGAACACTGGCCTGGGTGTAGAAGGCTTGAAGGATGCCTCAGCAGGCGGGACCTGGCTGGCATTTCTAGAACATTCCCTGAAGCAGAGCGAAAGATGTGTTCTTTTCAAGGCTGCGTGGAACCCTGACGTGGACAGACCATATGCTGGACCCGATAACAAGCGTGACAGATTTGAAAGCACTGAGATGAAATGGAATACTTCCCTGACTCCAGAGGAATTAAATTAGAAATAAAAAATAGAGATTCAAAACCCTGACAAAAGATAATAGGCACATCATAGAAGAAACTTGAACAGTCGACAAACGTGTGAGAAGATGCCCCAACTCTAGTAACTAGAGAAATGTAATTTAAAACAGAGAGAGAACTACATTCCCACTGGACTGGTAAAAATTAAGAACCCTTGGTACGGGGGAGAGAATCGGAACCCTGAGAGGAGGTGATGTCAATGCAGTCGCGTTGGCAAACCCTTCGTCAGCAGCTCCTTGAACTGACCACGCGCCCGCCCTTCCCGCCACTGAGCCGGAGCTGCTGGGTCTGCCTCCCACGGAGACACATAGGTGCCAAGGTCTGTTCACAGCAGCCACGAGCTGGCCATGGATAAATAAGGTGGTGCCACACGGCAGAGCCCGCAGCACAGTGAGTAACGACCCGGAATCGGGAGCCGACAGACGGGCACACCTGGCACGGCCATGCACAGAACCCAGGGCCAGCAACGCCAGGCAGAGGTGTTGGGTGACCTCGGGAGGGTCGTGGCTGGCAGGGCTGAGCAGGGGATTCCCGGGCGCTGGCTCTATGCACACATTCAGTCTGTGAAAGAAAATGCCTTGTCATGCTTCCGAGGATTCATATGCACGCCGTGTACGTTACCCCGCGAGGCAGGCAAATGCCAGGAAATGTCAGCTCGGATTAGCGCAACGGGAGCGCCTGTCTGCAGATGGGGAGTGTAAACGGCACAGTCACATGGAAAGCACGTTGGCGTTATCTCCTAAAACCCAGTGCAAACCCCTAACAATTCCACTGCCAGGTATTCTGTCCTCAGCAGCGAGCTTCCAACCGTGGGTCAAGAAATCAATTCTGTGGGTCACACCCAGCCTTTCCTACAGATTGAAATAGAAGAAACTTGAATAGAAAATGCAGGGCACAGCACACGTGGTGAAGGGGCATTTTACTCACTGAAGTCTGTGCACACGCTGAGAGCACGTTCCAGGGCTTGGCAGACGTTTCCTGCAGAAGCCGGGAGCCGCACCTGGGCTCGGCGGGCCACACGGTCGGCGGAACTTGGTCTGTGGGGCTGGCTGGGCTTGCGTCCCCAGGTGCTATGTGTGCTGCCTGATCCAGCATTTCTAGTGCAAAGTGAAAGGACTCAGCCACTTTAGAAACCCGAAGCCACCTCTGCTCCGGGGGGCACCTGCTAACCCAGCAGTCCCGCATGGAGCGTCCTGGGCCCAGCCATAACTTACAAGGGAGCCTGAGTGACAACTCTGGAGGCCGATGCCATTGAGAGAGTACCACGCTTCCTGAGAGGAGGGCCACGTCACCCCAGGCCGGGCCACACGGGAAACACCCAGGCTGTCCAGAGACAGAGGGGGCTGGGAAGCCCTGGCCGGGGCCTTCGTTGGGGCCTCCCCTGGGAAGGACCGCGCAGGGTGGCATGAGCAGTTGCTGAGGGGCCGGCGCCCCACAGGCTTTGAGCTGCAGCGGTGTCTCCCGCTGCCTGGTGCCCGGCTCGCGCAGGGCGGGGAAACACTGGCTTAGTGTAAGACTTTGATAGGGAGTCGGGGGACACAACCCTGGCAAGGCGGGCTCTAGGCAAGCTGTCCACCCCTGGGAAATAAGTGGCCCTAGGAGGAGCAGTCCTGGGTCTGAAAGATGCTAAAACATGAACAGATACAGAAAATCAACATACACAATGGATAGAGCGCGAGACCGTCCGTGTCCCTGTGCACACAGCGGCACCTCCGTTCCTAACCACTGACAGCTGCAAACAAAGTCTACTAACAGGTGATGGACAAACTATGTCTTAGTTTATTCGGACAGCAGAACACTGCTCACAATTAAAAACGAAGGAACAAGTAGCAATGAGCTACAGACACACACAACAGCACGGATGAAGCTCTAAGTCATATGATCAAGAAGCCAGACATCAAAGGCTCCAACTGCAGCATTCTGACTCCTTGAAGGTCATGAGCCGGAGAGGTCAATCCACCGTGCTTAAGTCAGAGCCACAAATGGGGAAGGGACGCCAACAGGAAGGGCTGGAGGGACCTTCTAGGGGCTGGGGTCCCCGCTGAAGAGCATGCATCTCACCATACGTAAATTTTACCTTAATTAATAAAAACAACAGTGGACGCAAATACGCCAACATTGTTGTCCAGGTTAATTTGGTGTGGTGGGAATATGGTGCTTTATTTGGATTTTTTTTTTTTGAGCCTCAAAAAATATATATATAAAGAAGAAAAGAAGAAGAAAGGGAAAGGAGTCTTCCCCCAGGCAAGCGGCCACCCCCAGCAGGAGGGTCCCCCAGCAGGAGCGTCCCAGCCACTCCGCAGTCGCTCCCGACCCAGAAAAGAACAACCACAGCTGGGCCCAGCACCCCGGGCCGCTCCCTGCAGCTGCCCACACATCTGGCAGCTGGATCTGCTTATGCAATGCGGATCCGGCTTCTTATATCTGAAATCTGCGTCTCTCTCCCTCCTCTGAGACCAGTGTCTCCTGCCAGCTTCCATGGCCCCAGGATGACCTCACTCGCCCAGGGTCTCCCTGCATCCTGGGTTCTCTGGCCGTCTGGGGTCTCTCTGCATCCTGGGAGCTCTGGCCGAGGGGCAGCAGGGGCTGATGGCGGAGCGGGGACAGGTCAGAGTTCAGCAGATGGAGTCCTGAATACACAGGGGATGTGGAGGGGCCGGGGGGCTGGGGATGCCCAGGATTTGGCACGAGGGTCTCTGTGTCCCACCCACTCCTGGCACAAGAGCCCCAGTCACAGGCACCTGGGGGTGGGGGTGACCAGCAGCAGTTCAGAGGCAGGTGTGGGCAATGTGAGCCTGAGTCTCCTCCCCACTCATGTCACTGCCCGTGGGGACACAGTGGCATTTCCTGGGCACTCAGCGTGCTGCGTTCCAAACTTCAATTATTCATTCTGCTCTCAGACACCTTCTGAGGAGACCCTGGCCCAGGAGAGTTTGGCTCAGGGACAGACGGATGAGACACAGTGGGACACAGGGCCTGACCCCAGCCCCGCCCCGGGCTGGATGGGGTCTAGTGGTGGCAGAATGTGGACCACTCAGTGGGAGGTTTCCTGACTGCCTTCCTGAACCAACGTCACTTGCAGGCAAGGGACACGCCGTCCTGGCCCCGCCCCTCTGAGCCCTTAGAATCATGGAGGGGTGGGGCAGCCTGTGCCCACCCCCCGGGGGAAGTGAGCCCCTGGGGACGCTGGGGGCCTGCCAGGTGCGCCGTCTTCAGGGGGTGCACTGCCGGGCTCCAGGGTCATGCCTGGAGACACTTCAGGCCTCCCCCACCTCTGGGTACCGCCTGCAGGGGTGAGGCCCTGCTTAGCCCTGCTTGCCCTGCCAGGATGGAGGGCACAGGTCTGTGTGGAAACCCCAGGGCTCCCTGACCCCCACGAGGTTTCTCAGGAGCTTCCTGCCCCGAGGGTCCCAGCATCTCCTGGGTGGAGGTTCTCAGGGATGCCCCCACCAGCTCCCCAAGGCTACTGTGATGGGAAATCCTTCTTCCCAAACCCAGAGCCCTGGGCGGATCTCCCGGGCTGTGCACCAAGGCAGAAACCCTCAGGGTCCTGGGGGAACCAGGGCCCGGGTCTGGGCTCCATTCGGGACCCTCCCAGCCCTGGGAAATCACAACACAGAAGTAATCCCGGGGCCAGAGCCACTAGGCCCCTGTGGAGCCCTGGCCACCTGCCACAGAGCCCTGGCCCCACACCGGGATGGCAGAGCCCTGGTCTCGGGACTCTCTGGGGCTGGGTGCTCCTGTCCCCCGTGGAGGGCCTGCCACCCGATTCTCCCCACGCGGGACCAGCTCCACAAAGCTCTGTTCTCCAAGGGTCCTCGGGCACAAGACTTGAGTTCTAACTTACCCAAAACACAGCCGAACACAATCCCTGCCTGGACCCACTCCTAGTGAAGGAGATTGGAACGCCGCTGGCTCACGCTTATGGGGCCAGCGAGGCCCGAGGACCGTGGGGGAGAAGCTGAGGCCCACATGGGGCAGGACGCGGTGGGTGGGAGAGGTGCTCAGGCCTCCAGAAGACGGGACACTTGGGGCAGAAGGAGCATGAAGTCCCTTCAAGGGCCCCTCGGGGCAGTCGGGACATCGCCGGGTCTGCTGAGGGACCGGGAGGAGGGAGTCCCACCTGCAGGGGAGCTCAGGAGACTTGCACTGGACCTAACCCGAGTCCTGCAGGTAGAAGGCGCTGCTCCAAGCCGCTGCTCCAAGCCGCTGCCTCCTGGGGCCTCAGCCCAGCTGGAAGCAGCTCCGCACTCAGTCTCCCCAGAGGCTGTGTCCCTGTCCAAGGCCGTCTTACAGTAGACACAGAACAGGAAGGATAATGTGGCAAACGTGTGGCCCTGCAGAGTCCAGGGAGGAGCCAGCCTGGCCCCAGGCCGGCCGCATGGACGCCGACCCCGTGTGCTGCAGCCGCAGGCCACGCAGGCTCCTGGTCCCTTCCTAGATCATGCCAGCCAGCCAGGGCGGCAGGAAGAGGCCCACGGTCCCCAGCAGGCAAACGATGATGAACATCCACAGGAAGATACGGTCGATGACCATGGCCACGTACTTCCAGTCCTCCTTCACCTGCAAGCACAGACGCCGTCACTCCAACAGGCCCGGCCGCCCACGGGAGAGCCCTCAGGACCCTGGCACCGCCGGCGGCAGCTTCTCCACCTCCCACCTCCCACCTTCCACCCGAGGCAGCCACGGCTGCCGGTGCATCCCGCACACACCTGCACCAAGGGGAGAAATCGGGGTGCACAGGAGAGCCAGTGCTCTGCAGGGGGCGGCATCACTACGGTGCAGGGCAGGAGGACCTGGGAACCCTGGGAATTCCGGCTGGGCAGACCCCTGTGTGGAGACAGGCTCTGCACTGTGCTCTGAGCGCCCCCACCTCTCAGCAGGCAGTCTGCGCTTCAGGAAGGGGGCACGGGGGAGGGGGGTTCAGGCGCCCCGTGGGGGGTCTGCTCTCAGTTCACCAGCGCTGGGAGGCGCACCATGGAGGCCCATCCCCCTCCCCGTTTTGCAGATGGGAAAATGAGGCCCGGTGGGGGCACAGCCTCACTGAGCAGGGTGAGACAGGGAGCCTGCTGGGTTTGGGATAACGGGGCCTAACCCCACACACTGGTCGTGGGCAGCATTGCCAGCTGATGCTCCACAGGGAGGACCCGGGGCCAGAGGGCGGACGAGAGCAGCACACACGGAACCCGCACAGCCACCGCCGTCTGCGATCTCTCACTCGAGCTTCCCCTGGCCTGTCCCATTTTCACACTGAGGTGCAGAGCTATCGGGGGTGGCTGCGCTTACACATCTAAACAGGGACAGCGGGTGCCGGCTCCCGGTCCGGCATATAACCCCACACTCCTGGGGCTGATGCAGGGCGGACCCCACCCTGGGTGACCCCTAGGAGCAGAGGCCTAGGGACGACAGAGGCAGTGGCCCGGTCAGGCCTGGAGTCGGGAAGCCATTCTCAAGACAGCTGCTATGTGCAGCTAAAGGTACTCATGCAGCTGGCCACTTCCCTGGCCCCGGCTCCCCTGTCCCACGTCTCTGGCTCCCCCATCCTGTGTCCCCAGCTCCCCCATCCTGTGTCTCTGGCTCCCCTGTCCCGCGTCTGTGGCTCCCCCGTCCCGTGTCCCCGGCTCCCCCGTCCCGTGTCCCCAGCTCCCCCATCCTGTGTCTCTGGCTCCCCCGTCCCGTGTCTCTGGCTCTGCTGTATAGAAGGACCTGAGACGACCCCAAGCTGACGAGCTGCCTCTGGGCCAGGCCATGAGGGTGTCTTGGGTCCCGGGCCTGTGGATGATGAGGGATGGGAGGGGACAGTGCTGCCTCCTGCTCTGATTTTTTGCAGCAATCCCGGGTGTCCTGATCGTGTTAAACTGAACCAAAATGGCCGTATTTATTTACGGGAAGCCTGAAGGCAAACGGGGTCACTTATAAATAAAGTCCTGCTCAGGCCTCGGCTCTGGGGGAGGGACGCGGCCACCCTCTCGCCCTTTCCCACATGCCTTTAGTTCCCTGGGTTCTGTGTGCCGCGTTCCATCCGCCCTGAAGATGAAACGCAGCGACAGACCAAAGCCTTCCCTCTGTCCCCAAGGCGCCTCCTGTGAAGTCAGCTCTGCTCCCCACAAGCCCAGAACCAGGTCAGGCAGCGGCAGCGACCGGCCCGCAAGGCTGCTGGAGGGGGCCCAGGCTGCGCTGGCCGCCGAGCTCAGACCCACTGCCGGCTTCAGGGCCGTTTGGATCAAACACCTAAAAGCATCGGACCCCACAGTGGCACGGCCTGGGCACAGCTGCCTCTGGCTTCAAGAGCTGGCAGCAAAGCAGGGTCCTGACACTTCTCCAGGCTGCTCTCGTGACCCCAGAACATTCTGGAACGTGCAGGTGGCTTTGCAGCTTCTTGGGATTCAGTGGGGGTGGCTGTGCGGGGCAAGCGACTCCCTCACTTCTCAGGGGTGTGGAGCACGCGCCCCTTGCTTTGGGGCTCACTCAGTTAGTGGGGGCAGGCACCAGATGCGTCCTAATAAACCATCGAGGATGGCGCTCTGGGATCCTGGCAGAGGCGGCCCCTTCAGATGGAGGAGGCCCACTGAGGGCGCCAGGCCCTGGCACTGGCACGAGAGCCGGGAGGTGCCGGCGACAGCAGGCAGATGGCAGGACAGATGCCAAGTTGTTGCTGTGGACGTCATGGGCTGCACGGCTGCGGCTGAGACCCTTGGCCGCCTGCGTGCCCCACCCATCCGGCCCCATTGTCCCGCCTGTGGACCCTGGCCCCTGCGCCTCCCCACCTGCGACAGACAGCAAATGTCTGCAGAAGGAAACAGGGAGGCTACCTGGTGCTAGGGTCAGGCAAAGCTGGCTCTGCCCCGGGGCCTCTCCTGCAGGGAACGGGTAGGAGACCGCAGAGCCGCGGGTAACACAGACATGGCTGCCACTTAGCAGAAACCACGGCTCTGGAGGCTGCTGTGCGGCCGGTGCCTGGTGCGTGAGGGTGAGGGCAGGTGGGCTGGCCCAGGGCCCCGGGGGGCCTTAGCAGTACGGCCTGTGTTTTCTGCCCCCAGCCCATGGCTCTCCCACCCCTGTCCCCAGCGTGGCCGCGTGGGGCTGACGGTCTTGGGGCCGTGTTCCTGTCCCAGATCCTTCTCTCCTGCCACCAGCCCATCCCATCCCATCTTCTCCAAGCCCCCTACCTCCAGGCCCCAGGTACGGAGGGGCCCTAGGGAGGCCCACGGGGCAGGCACAGGCACGCCCTGGGGAAAGGGACTTGGCAGTGCCTTGTTGCGTTCTGGAGACTTGGGCGTCGCTGGGCAGGAGTTCCCAAAGTGCCCCCGTGCTGTGCTGGAAGGACGCCGCCTGTGGCCCCTCACCCTGCCATCTGCGAGGCCCAGTGTGTCCCAGAGCTGGAGGCGGCACCAGGATCCACCCTGTGCCAGCCCCTCGGGGCCACCTGCCCCACTCAGCCTGGGACCTGCAGCCACGTAGCAGCTCGGGGTGAGGCTGCTGCAGCAGGGGCCACGCCCTGCACCCCAAAGCAAAGCAGCCTGAGGCCTGGGCCCAGCTCCTGGATGACGCACCAGGAACGGAGGGTGTCCACCGACTCCATCTGGGCCAGAGGTGCCCAGCACGGCCATGGGCGGGACTTACCGAGAAGTCTGCGTCTTCGGCCTTCAGGTGGTCCGCGATGTACTGGACACCCTCCACCGCCCGGGTCAGGGCCGGCGACAGGGGCAGGTGCTGGGGCGGTGCTTTGGTGCTGCGGGCCTTGAGCGTGGCGCTTGGGGACACAGAAGGGGGCTCCTTCCCGCAGGTGCATTTGCGCGGAGAGGGCTGGTCTGGGGGCGGGAGCTCAGCCGAGTGGGTCTTGCGAGAGGCCAGGGCGCCGGCAGCCTGGCCGTCCGCCTCGGGGGCGGCATTGTCTCGGGGAACACAGTACTGGATGCTCCGAGACCGGCACCGGACACCACCTTCCACCGCTTCTCCAGGGCTGGACATGTGCTGGATGCTGAGGGACCTGGCTTTGGCCAGCCCTGGTGCCTGGGTGCTGTGGGGTGGGCGGTAGGGTCCAGGCGAGGGGTGGGGACTGGCTTTCTCAGCTTCCGGGGGCTGCAGAGCGGGGAGCTGGTCGGAGGGCGACTTGCAGGCAGGCCCAGACTCAGCCGGCACATCCAGGGGGACACAGGACGGCGAGGGCGGGTGCCGGCTCTGGGTGCCGCTTGTGGCGGCGGGCTCCCCCTCCGGCTCAGGCCAGAAGCGCGGGGCACTGGCCATCTTGTGCATGGACTCAATGAGTCGCCGGCAATTGTCCTTGACCACGGACGGCCGCTTCATGAGGAGCAGGCGCGGCACGATGTCCAGGAAGACCCTGCGTACCCAGGCGGGCATGGTGTGTGTGCGCGGCGAGCGGTGGTGTACGTTGAGCACGAAGACCGTGATGACGATGGACAGGGTGACGAAGATCATGGTGAACAGCAGGTACTCGCCGATGAGCGGGATGACCAGCGAGGTGGACGGGATGATCTCGGTGATGAGCAGCAGGAAGACGGTGAGCGACAGCAGCACGGAGATGCACAGCGTGATCTTCTCGCCGCACTCGGAGGGCAGGTAGAAGACCAGCACGGTGAGGCAGGAGATGAGCAGGCAGGGAATGATGAGGTTGATGGTGTAGAAGAGCGGCAGCCGCCGGATGACGAAGGCGTAGGTGATGTCCGGGTAGATCTCAGCACAGCACTCGTACTTCCTGGTGTTGTAGGTGCCCACGGCGTCCACGATGACCCACTCACCACTCTCCCAGAAGTCCAGCTGGTCCACGTGGCTGTGCATATTCACCAGGTCGATCTTGGCCTTGTCGTAGGTCCAGGAGCCGAATTTCATGGTGCAGTTCTGCTGGTCGAAGGGGAAGAAGGTGACGTCGATACTGCAGGAGCTCTTGTAGATGGCCGGGGGCGTCCACTGCACCCGCCCGTCATGGAACAGGTGGGCCTTGGTCAGGTGGGTGACTGCGAAGTCCCCATCAGCACTGGGCAGGAAGATCGAAGGGAGTGAGACCCCCACGTCCATGCCCACGTCCACATCCATGTCCACGCCCATGTCCACGCCCACATCCACATCCACATCCATGCCCACGCCCACACACACAGGCATTCTCACATCACAGGAGCATAGAAAGGCTGGCGGCCTTGCCCAGGTACACTGCTCGTCTCTTCACTTACTCGCGCACCTCAGTTTATCATCCCTGAGCTGGGGGTAGCACGTGGTTCAGAGAACAGGAAGGGACCTACAGGTGTCTGACACACACAGTCACTGCTGCTGCTGATTCTTCTTACCCGTGAGTGGCACAGGGATGGGGCTAGTCTTCCAGCGACACCCCCTGGGACACACAGCATCCCCACGTCCCTGCCCCTCCAAGCAGCACCCCGGGCCACCACAGGAATTCCTCACCCAGCTTCTGCCGTTAACCCCAAGGACTTGGAGGCCACCTGCCGGTGTGTGAGCATGAGGACACCAGGGGCCACAGAGGCAAGGACAGGTGCTCTGGCCACCCAGGGACAATGCAGTGAGGCTGCATATGCACTGCCCAGTTCCAGGGCCACATCCAAGCCACTGGCTCTGGACTCTCTTTTGCCTTGAGGACATGGGTCTTCTGTCCACAGGCCCAGGTGGGCAACAGAACAATGGAGCAAGGGGCTGATGTCCCTTGAACTGCTCCTGGTAGCAGAGCTCCCAGACCCAGCCCCTAGTTCCATGGACAGTGGCTGGCTGGGTAGGACACACTGCAGGAGCACGTTCCGGCCTGAAGCAGCTGACCCCCCACCCCCCACCCACAGAAGTCCCCACCGATGGGAAGCCTGAGGCCCCATTAAATCCACAGCGTTGGTGGGTGTGGGGCCAGGCTCAGCTCTGTGGAGGACGGTGGGGCACGCCGTGTCCCGGGGAGCGGCTGCCCAGCCACACACCTTCTGCCCACCTCTGCCAAGTTGCCTGGACCCCTGCCCATCCCTCCTCTGTCTCATTCCCTGAGAGCCTGCTCAAAGGCCAGAGCCTCCCCAGGTACTTGGGCAGAGCTGGCCACTGTTCCCTGAGCTTCCTCTGTGCCTGCCCAGGAGTTCCAGGGCTGGGCCTGCACCTCAACCTCCCTCCCAACCCTCAGGGACCCTCCCTTTGTGGAGCTGCCGCTGCTGGAGCTCTGCCCTCCAGGTCATGGAGCCCTGGCGCCCCACGGTCTCGGTCGGCGCTGAGGCTCTGCCCCGCTGAACTGGTCCTGAGCCAACACCGCCGGCTGGGCAGCCTGCAGAGGGAGGGAGACCTGGGAAGAGCCACCAGCTGCATCTCCACACAGCTCCGGCCCAGCACAGCCTGGCCCCCGATTTCAGTCTGGGTGGAATCAGGCTCAAGTTTGCTCCTTCCCCGCAGCCCATCTCTCCAAAAACCAACGCTCTCCACCTTCTGAGGCACAAACGGAAACTTTCTCATACGGGAAACGGGTGACTACTCCATTCAGCACGCACGCTGCAGGGGCTCAGGGCTGTGCTTGGGAACAGTGCAGGTCACTCTGGGCAGGGCCCCCCTCCCAGGGTCCTCCACCCGCGCCACAGGAAACGGGACAAGGTCAGGGCCAGGTCCCCCAGCCCCCAGGTCCCACAGCATCCCTGGGCCGCGTCACTGCTGCTCCCTGCCCTGCCCACCCCTGGCTCCGGCCGCCCTCTGGGGAGCCTTTGAGGAGAACCCTGTTTGGGCTGAACCACCGAGCTGTGAGCCAGTTCTGGAACGCTGCACCCTAGGAGCAGGCAGGGTCTGAGGAGCCGCCCAGTCTGGCAGGTCCAGGTTCCTGCTCCAGGGCCCACAGGGTGGCATGAGACCCTCTGTCCCCTCCACCCCGATCCCCAGGTCAGGGATTTCTGGGCTCCTGCCCCAAAGGGCCAATCTTAGAGAAGCCCCAAGTGGACAGCAGGGCCCCCAACTGGGGCTGGCCAAAGCCCAGAGAAGGGCTAAGGCCTCCCACCCTGCAGCCTGGCCGGCCACCAGCCACGGTCACCTGCTGCCCCAGAAACAGGCCTCAGTGGGAGCAGACCCCAGCACCAGCACCGACTCCAGGAACCCCAGGTCCTGTCCAGAGAAAGCCTCGGTGACAACCCCAGCCCTGAAGAGAAAACTGGGGTCACCTGACTGTATCTCACAGGTTACCCCACTACCTCCCACAGGCTGTGGTGAGGAGGAGACCCAGGAGGACATGGGGTGGCAGCACACCCCACTCTCCTGAGCTGTGGTCCTAGGCGGGGCTGCGGTCCTGGGGAGCTACGGTCCTAGGGGGCTGTGGTCAGGCGAGAACTGTGATCCTTGCGGGCACTGCGGTTCTGCGGGAGGCGCTGTAGCCCTAGGCAGGGATGTGGTCCTTGGGGGACTGTGGTCCTGGCAGGGAATGTGGTCCTGGGGGAGCTGTGAACCTGGTGGAGGCTGCAGTCTTTGGAGGGCTATGGTCCTGGTAAGGGTGTGGAAGTGGGGAAGCTGCAGTACTCAGGGGCTGTGGTCCTGGGGGTTTGAGGTCACAGTGGGGGCTATGGTCCTCACAGGCTTTGTTCCTGGGGGCTGCATTCCTGGAGGGCTGTGTACAGGCACCCAGAGCTGCTTCTCTGCCCAGCCCATCCTGGGCATTTCCACTTCTCCCTGAAATATGTCCCTGTGAGTCACACAGGCGGATTCGGTGCACGGTCCTGGTGGCGGGGAGCTAGGTGGCTGGGCAGCTTGCAGGGGGCAGGGAGCCTGTCCTAAGGGAAGACCACTCGCCACCCACTCACCACTGACCACCTCCCCTAATGCACCCTGGAAGAGCGTCCGGCCCCCTTTCACCCCCCTTCCCACTGCCATTACTGGAATCAATTGAGTTGGAAGAGGAGCCCGATGGTTCTTAATCATACAGCAGCGTTTGTAGGTCAGGCAGGCGCCCTGGGGCCTGGAAGGGGCTGTGGGCAGATGGCTGGGACAGGAGAGGAGGAAGAGCTTCCATTTGCTTTGTTTGTGGGAGCTTCGACCCTGCCGCGCCCAGGCCCTGAGCCTGTCGCGAGAGATAGTCCCTGGAGGACTCAGCTCAGAGAGTGCTGGCTGCCGGGCGCAGGGCCCTCGGCACAGATCTGTGGGAAGGACAAGTTGGAGGACAGCAGCCTCTGGAGGCCACCGTCTGCCACGGCCAATCCCTGGCAACGCTGCCCTGGCTTCCAGGCACAAGAAACCCGTTTCCATGACCGGACTTCATCTTGGCCTCCCAGAAGCCTGACACGGGCTTGGCCCAGCCTGAGGCTTTGTTTGCTGGGGACCTGGTGTGATGTTTGTCCTGGGCAGGGCCTGAGTGTGCAGAGCAAGCAGAGGCCCTGCTGGTGTGGGAGCCGTCTGGGGCTTCCTCACCCCTCTCCACGGCACCCTGCGGCCCACACTATTCTTCCAGAAATCCCAGGATGGGGTCTGACCGTGAAAAGCACTCCAGCCCAAAAGGGCTCTCCTGCAGCCATCAAGGGTGGGGCAAAGACGTCCGGGGTCAGGAGCCAGCCCCCAGGCCTCAGGACTGGTCCAGGCAGGGATGTTGTGCCCAGGTGCCACAGCCACTCTCAGGCGCCTCTGGCTCTGAAGCTCCAGTGCTGACACCCAGGGATGCCCTCAGCCTCTTTGCTGGCCTGGAGGGACGCTTCCCTCCTCAACCCCCACCAGTTTCTCCATTGCTCCTGCTGCTTCCTTCCTGGACCTGGGCTGGCATGGATGGGGCTGGCATAGGCCCTGCTGGGCCAGGCTGGGCCTTGGCAGAGCTCCCCAGGGGACTCACTTGTTGTAGAGGACGATGTCCGGCCGCCAGATGAGCTCGGAGGGAATGCGGATGGAGGTGACGTTCTCGTAGTCAGCTGGGTCCCAGCGCAGCTTGTAGTCATGCCACTCCTGGACGGGGTGGGGCGGGGGGAGGCCGCAGGGTGAGGGGTGTGGGGGAGGGTGGGGTGGGGCAGGGCCAGAGTGGGGCAGGGCCAGGGCAGGGCAGCAGGGTGAGGGGTGTGGGGGAGGGCAGGGCTGGGGCAGGGCCAGGGCAGGGCAGCAGGGTGAGGGGTGTGGGGGAGGGCAGGGCTGGGGCAGGGCAGGGCAGCAGGGTGAGGGGTGTGGGGGAGGGCAGAGCTGGGGCAGGGGCAGGGCCAGGGCAGGGCAGTGCCCTCCCACTCACCTGCTTCACCCATACGTTCGTGGTCATCATCTGGTTCTTCTCGTCCTAGGGCACAGAGAGAGGAAGGGGGCCAGTGACCCCTTGGTGTCTGTCTCTGGCCCTGGGTTTCCTCATCCACAGCCACTGGCACAAGGACAGGGCCAAGGGGAGACATGGTGGATGGGCGACCTCTGGAGGGGGCGAGTGCCCCGTCCCTGGAGGCAGCTGAGCCCAGGATGGGGACTCTGAGGAGACCTAGGGATGTGGGGACAAGGCCGCAAACATCTCCAGCAGGAAACTGGAGAGGAGGTCAGTGGCCTCACAGGCTCCCCCAGCTAAGGACGGGTGTGGCAGGCACGGGGAGCCTCCTTCTGCCCACCTGCCTTGCTCCCTCCTGGCCCTTGGGGGCAGCCCCTCTGCAGACGAGGCCCCCCACGTGGGCACACACAGCCACCAAAGCTGCCCCGGCACATAAGTGGGTTCCACTGCTGGCCAGGGTGGCCTCTCCAGGACTGTGCCTCATGACCTGAGCAGGTGGGACCTGTCACTCAAGGTCACTGTGTGCAACTGGGCCACTCACCCCAGCCCCTTCCAGCCCGCCCCACTCACCTCCTTCCACATCCCCACAGACCACATCCCCACAGGACCACATCCCACAGGACCATGTCTCTACGGACCATGTTCCCCACAGAACCACGTCCCCACAGGACCACATCCCCACAGGACTACATCTCCACAGACCACGTCCCCACAGAACCATGTCCCCACAGGACCACATCCCCACAGGACCACATCCCACAGGACCACATCTCCACAGACCACGTCCCCACACGACCATGTCCCCACAGGACCACATCCCACAGGACCACATCTCCACGGACCACGTCTCCACGGACCATGTCCCCACAGGACCATATCCCACAGGACCACATCTCCACAGACCACGTCCCCACACGACCATGTCCCCACAGGACCATATCCCACAGGACCACATCCCACAGGACCACATCTCCACGGACCACGTCTCCACGGACCATGTCCCCACAGGACCATATCCCACAGGACCACATCCCACAGGACCACATCTCCATGGACCATGTCTCCACGGACCATGTCCCCACAGGACCATGTCCCACAGACCACATCCCCACAGACCATGTCCCACAGGACGTCTCCACCGAACCTCATCCCCACAGACCACATCCCCATAGACCACGTCTCCACAGGGCCACATCTCCCCACAGGACCTCATCCCCTCAGGACCTCATCCCGTGTGTCCGAGGAAGCTCCAGGGTCCTCAGAACCAGCTTCATGTGGCCAGGCCTGGCCCTCCTGCCCAGTGTCCTGCCCTGCTCCCTTGCAGCCATCACTCTCAGGTGCCCTTGAAGCTGGAGGGCAGGTCAACACCGTACATTTCACCACCACTCAGCATTGGCCTTGGCTGGTTAGAAAAGCACTGGGTCTTCCAGACCCTCCTGTGCAGCCAGTCCTGGGGCCTGAGCTCACATATGCAGCTCACATCTCCTCCAGGACAGACCCTGGTGATGGCATCTATAACAAGTATTATGAGCTCGCAAAGGGGGCACATGTGAGTCCCCAGCCCCTGGTGGGACAGACAGAGTGGGTCAGACATAAGACAGCCCCTTCCGCATACACGTGGCCCTTCGCCTTAGGCCAGCACCCAGGAGTGTCAGGCAGCCCCTTCCGCACACACGTGGCCCTCGGCCTTGGGCACCCAGGAGCATCAGCACCCACGTGTGCATGCTCGTGTAAGTCCTTAGCCGGCTGCAGGGTGGAGAGAGGGGTGGGCAGCTCTGGGAGTCTTGGTGCTGGGTGTGCTCCTGGCCTCAACGTCTCCTGAGCAAACTGGGGGCTCTGTGGTGGTGTAGGGAGCCATGGACTGAGCCCTGAGAAGCTCAGGTAGGCAGCCAGGTGGGGGGTGGCAGACCTAGAGCCTTGGGCAGCCGCCAGCGGCCGCCTCTGCCAGCCACCACTTTGCAGCCGTGTTTGCAAACCTCAGCAGGCTTGCCAAGCCTGTGCAACCCGCATTGTCTTCTGGCTGGGCCTCCGCCAGAGACACTCCACAGGAGCCACTCAGGGGCAGTTCCAGGACACTGAGGGTGGAGGTCTGGTGGCCGACCCTGGACAGGGCTGGCTGACTGGAGTCTCCATGCGCAGCCCTGCTCAGGCAAGTGCCACCACTGACCAGCCTGTCCGTGGGAATGTGGCTGCAGCTCCCTACACCTCTCAAAGCCCCTGGGGTGTGGTCCACTCACCCTGGGATAGTGAAGCAGTTCTCACCCCGTTCCACAGGCCCCAGGCCCAGGGTTACCCAACACACGCCAGCCTCCCAAAGAGAGGAAATACTCCTGCAACCTGGCAGCTCCTCCCACAGCGGCAGACCTAGGCTTGGCGTCCTGGCAAGGTATGGGCTGGGCCTCTGCAGCGTACAAATGCCTCCTCGTGTGGGGGTGCCCTCCCTGGACCAGCAAGCTGGGATTTGGCAGCAGGGCTGGAGCTGGCGGACTCCAGTGTGGAAGACACAAGCCCCTGCAGCCCAGCTGGCCATCAGCTGCCCACTCGCAAGCAGGCCAGCTCCCAGCGGCCACGGCCTGCCCAGCCTGCCCTCTTCCATGGCAGGAGCTCCCAGGTTATGCACCCCCACCCAGCCCGGTACCCTGAGGGATGGTCTCACCCTATCTGGAGTGGCTGAGCCTGGCTAGGAAACGTGGAACTGTCTCTGCTGCCCCTCCCCCGGCCCCTCTAGGGCCGCCGAGACCCCCAGACGGTCTGGCTCAGGCCTGGGTAGGTAACCAAGTATCTCAACCGAGCACAAGGCCGAGCCTCCCACAGCTCAGTTCTCTCAGCCTCGAAGCCTCCTGGTTCCTATCCCCACCTCGGGGCTCCGTGTGCACTGGCCCACGCTGCAGGGGCCTTGCTGGACCCCTAGGCATCCTCCCAGCAGCCTCCCGGGCCCCCCACCAGAAAGGAAACACACTTCAGACAAACAGAACTCGCCCAAAGCTCGCCCAAACCCCACATTCCAGACCTGTGGGTGAGGGGCTCTGGGGCCAGCCGAGGTTGGGGTGCTACCAGGACACCACAGTGCCTGCCCCTGCCCCGGTCGGTTGTCCTTGTTGTTCCCAGGTCACAGCGTGCCCCGCCACCCCCAAGCAAGGCCTTTGCTGTTCTTCCGAAGGTGCCTGGGCTCTGTACTGAGAACCTGGCCACGTGGAGTGTTCCCACATCGAGGGGAAGGAAAGGGCAGGGCCTGGCTGGGATGCTCTGAACCAACCCTTGGCCGGGGCTCCAGCAGGACGGAGCTGGTGGCTGCTGTTCTGGCATACTAGTCCAGGCCGGACACTCACAGCCACGGCGAGTGTTGATGTCTGTGTCCCCTCTGACCACCCAGACCCCGGCGCTCCTTGCAGGGTGACCTCAGTCACAGCGCATGATGGCCACGCCCCCACCTACCACATCAATGAGCTGAGCAATGGACAAGCCGAAGCGGACAAGGACCACGTCCGAGATGTTGGCCACGGGTCGGGACCACTTGTTGTAACCGGAGAAGAGTTTCTTCAGGAGCCGCTCCTCGGCATGGGCCCGGGTCTCCACATGGCTGCTGGCTGCGGGGAGAGGCAGGTCAGTGCTCAGGTGCAGGTGGGACAGGAGCCAGGAGCTGTCCTGGCTGCCCCAGTCCCCTGCCCAGCACGCTCAGCCACGTCCGCTTCCTTTCAGCTCCTCACAAGAGCACCGCCCACCCCAGGACCTCTGCGTGTGCCAGGCGTGGCATGCGCTGCCCTCCTTTGGCTTCCGTCTCTCTCCCACCCCTGGGTGTAACTGTGATTTCCTCCGGGAAGCTTCCCAGGCCCCTCAGCCCACAGAGGCCTTTCCAGCACCTTGCACCGCACCACAAAACCAGGCAATGGATGGGCTGAGAACTGCTTTGGGTCCCCTAACTGACTTCTAGGGAAGGGCTGTGCCTCCAGCGGCCGGCGAGTCAGAGGACACTTGGGGGTAACAGCAGCACGGGATGGGGCACGGGGCAGCGGGGCCAGCCCAGGCAGGGAGAGGGAGGAAGAGGAAGGAGGATCGGCCCCCAAAAGCGCCCACTTCCTAGGGAATCTCCTGTGGTTCATCAATGCCCTGATGCTGGAGGAGTGTTTCAGATGCAGGTGCCCAGCCCCCTCCGCACCCCAGCCTGCCCGAGCTCTTGGTCAGACCCAGAACGCCCTTGATGAGTCGCTCTGGAGGAGCACAGCCCCAGGTCCATCTGTGCTCCAGGTCTGGGCCCCGGGGTCTGAGGCGTTCCCCGCCTGTCCTGGGCGCTGCCACATGGGGCGGGTCTGGATGGAGGGGGACCTTCCACCTCCCTGCTGGGCCCCGCTCGCCTGAGAGCGCAGACAGGACTGGGGAGCGGGAGGGGTCAGTTCTACACCCCTGGGAGCCTTGACTCCAAGCCCAGAGTCCCTGCTCCCGACCGTTCTTCCTGGAGAAAAGGTGGGTGGGGGCCGCCAAGGGCAGAGGCCACCCCTCTGATCCCCTAAACCGGAGGAAGCAGGCATGGGAGTCTTCAGGGAAATTTAGCCTGATGGATGGGGGAAGGGCGAAGGGGGCCCCACCTCTGTTCAAGTTCGAGCTTTTGGGTCCAGCCCTGAAACAGCAGCGGAACCCCCACCCCCCGCGGAAACCCCCTTTCCCAGCCCTCCGCATTCGCCGGCGGTTACCTCCCTCCTCGCCTGGCTCAGCCCGGGTGCGAGCGCAGCCTGTGCGGCTGGCGATGGGGAGCCTCTCTGCCGCCCCGTTGCGCGCACCCGCGGCTTGGGACCGCAGTCAGGAGCCTCCCTCCCTCTGGCTCCGGGGGTCCCAGGCCACCCGAACGCGGGCGAAAGGGGGCCCATCCCGCGCCCCGAAACTTACCGCGCAGGAGGCCGATCCCCAGAAGCAGCAGCAGCGGGGGCAGCAGCCGCGGCGCCCCGGGGCCCCCGAGCTCCATGGCGCACGCACCTCGCGGGCTCTAGATGCGGGCGGCTCCCGGCTCCCCCCGGCTCCGAGGCCCGTGCGCGCCCAACTTCATGCCTCCCGCGCCTCGCGGGCCGCTTCGGCCGCTGGGCCCGGTTCCGCTTCTCCTGCGGGGCGCGGTGCGGCGGCGGCGGGGCCGGGAGCGCCGGGCTGTGGGCTCCGTGGCGCGGCCCCGCCCGGCCCTGCCCGCCTCAGCCGGCTGGGAGGGGGAGCAGGGGAGGGGAGAGGAGGGGGAGCAGAGGAGGGGGAAGAAGGGGAGGGGGAAGTATGGGGGGAGGGGACGGAGGGAGGGAAGGGAGGAGGGAGCAAGGGCCGGGGAGAAGGAGCGGTGACGGACCGCGCGCCCAGGGGGACGGGGAGGCTGCGCTGGGCCCCGGGCAGGGGTAAAGTTTCCTTGTCCGCCAGGGGTTCCAGACGTGCCTGAGTCAGGGATGGGGACTTCGGGGTCACTGCGTGCGACTGGGGGGTCCCGGAGCGGGTCTGACCTCCCTCCCCACATCTCCAGCCTGGGCGCCCGATGCCTGCCTGGAGGGGTGGGGGCGCGTCTAGGGGATCCGGCGCAAGGAGAGGCGCCCCTAGCACATCTGGGTTACTCCATCGCGCCAGCCGGTGTCTGCAGCCTGAAAATCTCTGGTCTTGTTCTCCCGCTAGCCGTTCAGGACTCTCTCCGCCTGCAGCCCCCGCCTCCCCCGGTACCTCCGCCAGGACCCAAGAGGCGTCCAGAGGGGAGCCCAGGCCCTGCGCCCGCCTTCTGGTGAGGAAGATCCCCTCCCCCTCAAGGTCCAGCCTGGGGTCAGGGTCTGTCGGCCCCCACCCCTTGCGTGGCCTGCGAGCCCCGTGGACTGCGTGGCATGAAGTCACGCCCCCATCCCCCCTGCAGTGGGTGAGGGCGTGTAACAGAGCGTCTCCCCGGCCGGGTGCTTGGAGAGCAGACCCGAGGCGCCCCTGGCCTGGCATTGAACAATACGGGTCGCCCCCGGAGGTGGCGCACGGTCCCCAGGGAAGGGCCCCGCCCTCAGGTGGGTGGCGAGGTGGCCGCCCACAGAGTAGCAGGTGCGTTGGAGGAGGGGCGCCTTGTGCGGCTGAACTTCGCGTGCAGGAGGAGAGGGCACTGGCTCTGCAGAAACATCAGACCCGGCCATCCCTGCAGCCGCGCCCCTGGCCCAGCCTCAGGCTCTGCCGCTGGGACACAGCCCCCGAAAACGGAGACTTCCGTCGTCGGTAATGGAGGGCAGAGAAGGGGCTGGAGAGGTCCCGAGGCCCTCCGCTTTCACGCCCCTCCCTCCAAGGCTGCAGGTCGGGCGACGGAGCTGTCAGTCAGGAGTCCCCTGGAGCAACCCCCACTCCAGTACAGGCCTCTGGAGCCTTACAGCTCCCTTCATATCGACTCTCCCATCTCCTCTGTCCCCACCCCCCACCTTCCTTCTCCTCCTCCCCCCAGCTTCTCTGAGCAGCCACTGCTCCTGCCCACCTGCCTCTCCCCTCTCTGCCCACCTCTCCTACACTCCTGATTCCAGGTTGAGCTCATGGCTCCTCATACACCTGCTCTGGGACGGGTAGGAGCTCCTCCTCACTGGCCGGAGCTGTCTGTCCGCTCTGTGGGCAGTGCCTGCAATTAGAGCTTTCAGAATGCACAGCTGCTCCGAAGTGGCCGGTCCCGCGACAACACCTGGCCTGCTTCTGTGGCCCTCCCAGTGCTGCTGACCCAAGCAAGCTAGATGCAGGGACCCCCTGCACTTCCACGGCCCCCTCAAGCTGGGCTCTTAAGAGATAATGCAAGTGCAGAGAGGTTAAGCAGCTTGCTGAAGCTCACACAGCAGTACTGAGATTCCAACCCAAGCCATCTGGCTTTAGGGTCTGCACCCCGGCCTCCTGCTGGCCTCAGGTGTAGTTTTGGGCTGAGGTGCCCTTACTGGGACAGATCCCAGGTCTGCTTTCCTGCAGTCTTTCCTGGAGCCACCAGTCTCCACCACCCACCCTGCTGACGGCTCTCCCTCAGACCACCCTGCAGATCCAACCCTCAATGGTTTCAAGGTCCTGTTTCCCTAGGCAGACTGAAGTCCCCCAAGGAAGGATTCCCTCTCTTCCTCCTCCTCTCCTTGCTCTCCCCAAGCCCCTGGGCAGTGCAAGACCCTGGTCCTTCTGGTCTACATGAAGCCCCGCCATGGGCAAGTTCTGTGCCAGGAACTAGAAGGTTCCAAGCTGGATGGAGATTTGGGCTGAGCAAGCAGCTGGTAAACACAGGGAGGGGAGAAGAGCAAAGTCCCCCTGAGTCCCCGTGAGGGCAGCCTGCTGACCTCTGACCCACTCACAAAACCCCACCCCGCTCCCTGTGGCACAGCCCACGAGGCTCCCTGCTCAGGAAGGGGGTGGAGAGGTGGCAAGGCCGGTGGCTCCCGCACAGGATAGAGCAGCCTGTGCCCTTTGGTTCAGGCCCCACCTTGGTGAGAAACCCCTGCCTGTGGTGTTGCAGAGCAAATGCCATTGGCAGAGCTGATTCCACATTCTTTTGTTGGTGGAGAGGCCAGCCGCGCCGCGGTCCCGGCTGGAGTCCCTGTGAAACGGGGTTTTCGTTTCTCTGACTTGGCAGCTGGTCGAAACGGGGCTCATCTGCTGCTGATAAAGTGATGTCCGCCTCGTGGGTTCCACGCCCACACCCTGTGCCCCACCCTCCCGTGGCAAACCAAAGACCCCTTTGGGAAGACGACGCCCGTGCTCCTGCGCTTGGGCTCATGGTTTCACCCTGGACTTGCTAAACTTGAGGCCTCCTGCGGAGGTTATCTGGGGTCAGAGCAGGGGAAGGGGCGTGTGGTGAGCTGGGTGAATCCCTGAAGGGCAGCCTGAGGGCCACGGGCATCCACTCAGCTGGGCACAGAGGAGTTTGTTTAACTCCAGATTCTGGAGCCCCACCCTCAGACACGGTTGTCTGGGGTGAGGCCTCCACATCTGTGGCTTCCACCAGCCATTGCTGGGCAGCTCTGATGCAGGCAGCCTCGGAGTGCCCCGAGAAATGTCAGCTTAGAGCCACTTGGCGCAGGGCTGATGCAGAGGGTCAGTGTCCCCCATCCCAGCCTGGTGTCCTGGCCTGGGGCAGGGGCTGGAATTTGCCCCGCGTTGGTGCAGGGGAAGAGGCCATGGGCCTCTCGGCAGGAACCTGGCAGAGGCTGGGAGGCTAAGCCAGCTTTGCCTTTTCTGTCTCCTGCTCACTTTTCTAACAAAACAGGCCCAGGCTTCCACAGGGTCTAGCGGTCTCAAGCCTGCGGCTCTCCCTGGTGGATTCCCACAGGTGAGTTCACTCTGAGAGCTCAGCCAGGGCCAGCAGGCCTGTCCCTCCTGGAGCCAGGGGCCAGGCCAGGTCAGCTGGATGTCCAGGGCTCTGGCGACACAGCCCTGCGGCCAAGGGCGCACACTCACACGCATCTGTCCAACCTCGCCGGCTTCCCCTTTGGATTTGCTAATGCAGCAAGATTAATCGGGTCTAACTCATTAATTTGCACAGCCCCTCCCTTCCACCTGCGCCCGCTGGAGAGCGCTGGTTGTGGGAACCCAGTAATCACCGAGGCTGAATTAGATTCCGACTCTGCTTCCTGGCCCTTGCCTCTGT